TTGACTTGCCTTCATAAAGATATTCTGATCTAGAGTAAACTGTAGTTTCGACATCACCTTGGCCTCATCGGCATCCCCAGCAGGAATCGAACCCGGGAAGTGCAATGTATAATTTTACGTTACGACTATGCCACACTGCCACCTGTGCTAGTTAGCCATATGGCACAAAAAATTTAAGTAACGATGTCGAATGCAATGGCAAATACATATTTGCCTAACCGACAATCCCACTATGAAAATGTGATATGGGAGAGGCATAAGTTGCTTTAAAATTCTGCTTTGCTCAGAAGCCTACCATCACTCATCACAATATGATGTAGTGATAATATGTTGAAGGTGTATAATACACAGCACGTGTACGATTCCCATTAGGGGTGCTTATCTGACCCAGAGAGAATAGAAACTGCAGCCCACTCAGGATAAGAATGCCCTTTAGAAAACAAGATTAAGTTAAATTCACTATCACCGTAAGGCCTACTCATCTTATTGGGGGAAAATTCGCAATCAGTTCTAACCAACCTAAGCTAAATAAAGGTGTTATTCAAGTTTACAATCGCCTCAATCTACATCTTGCTTTTGCAGTTACATTTCGAGACATGGACACTTGTTGACGCCAACATCTTCTTGTAAGAAATGGCGAGATAAGATAATCATGTATCTGGGAAACCTAATAAATTGTTAAGTTAATTTACTACGAAAAGAAGATACTTTATCAGTAGGGCCCAATTCTGAAATTGTCAACTGCACTTTCGGGAGTGAGTCCCAAACTGGCTACAATTTTCCTCTGGCTTACCTGGCAAATATAGCAGACACGAAGCCCGACCAGGCAAGTAGCACATTTAACAGCACAGATGTCTTTAATATGATTCGTTGAACCCTCGTTGGTATCAATTTGTCCTGGCGCCTCAGTTGGAAGGCGTATGGACAGTCCTGAGATGTCATTAGTTATAGCCGGTTTAGGCGCACACTCAGGATGTAGATACTGGCCGCATCCTCCAGCACAAGGGACAATCGTTACAACATGAGCAGGGTCAGAAGCTGAAGCCATAGGACTTTATAAAAAAGTTCAGAGAAATAGAGAATATATGATATTTTGGATAAACCTAAGGTAGTGTCAGTGAGGAAGGTAGATAAAGATATCGATTTTAAATGTCACAATCTTTTTTATTGAATTAGTTCATATCAAAGCTGAGAAAAATTCTATCATATTCACTAGTGTTTAGTTTTTGGTGGGTCGTCCAGCAAGCCAAGTCATAAATGCTGCGCCGAATTATTAAAAAATAGGGTCTTGTGCAGAAAGCAATGAATCTCGGAAGGTGGACGAATTTCTAAATCATATATTAATAATTGCGCACTTTACGGCATTAGTAATATAGTTAACTGATACTGTAGAATAAGCTAAACTCGTTAATTAATTAATAAAATAGAAGGATATATAAGACAAAAGGCATAGTGATAAAAATATTATTTATAAAATTCCACATAATTAAATCATTTGCCTTAGAGTAAAAACAGGAATATTCTGGTGAAAATCTAACACGGCACTAAAAAAATAAGCT